GAGTCAGGAAGACTCATCTTCATGAGTTCAGATCTGGCCTCAGACACTTACTAGCTGTGTGACCCTGGACAAGTCACTTAACCCTGTTTGCCTCAGTTTCCTCATCTGTAAAATGAGCTGGAGAAGGAAATGGCAAACCACTCCAGTATCTTTGCCAAGAAAACCCCAAATGGGGTCACAGAGAGTTGGAAATGACTGAACCGATTGAACAACAATCCAGTTTAGAGAGGTTGAGTGACTTGCCTGAGGTGACTCAGGTCTTAAGCAGGAATGCAGATCTCTTGACTCCAAATCCAGAGCCCTTTTCACTGTATCATGCCACTTCTTAATAGGAGTCCTGGCTATTCTAACTAACAAGATGGAGGGAAAGCCAGTGTGGTGGAGTCCCATGAGGTGATGATGGTGATGGCTGGGTAGGGGTAGTCTGTGTGAAGATAATGAACTTTGGGAGTTCACGTATAATCTAGGCTCCTCGGTTCCCCACATTTACAGTTGATAGGATCCAGAACCTAACCAGAGGGTTAGAAGTTTAAATTCTAGGTCCCTAGGCCAAGCAGAACATCTGCCCTTTGCTAATTATTCATTTCAACTAATTAATAAATAGTAGTAGTAAATACTTAGTAAATACTGAGCATTGGGCTAGGTGCTGGGGAAAAAAAAAACAAAACGAAAAACAGTCTTAGGATCATAAATCTAGAGCCGGAAGGAAGCTCAGAGGTCATCTCGTCCAACTCCCTCACTTTATGGTCAAGAAAACTGAAGCACCAGGAAGTGAAACAATATGCCCAAAGTCAAACAAGTGAGCAGAGGGATACAATCCTGAATCAAGCATCTCTGAAAGACAGTGGTTTTTGTTTTTCCTTGAGACTCCCCTTCTCCTGCAGTGTCCAGGGGTACGCTGATAGATGTTTAACAACTAGCTCTTGGAGAGAAAAAAAAGTGCCAGGACACATTTAAATTTCATCTGAATTGTTAACTTTTCTCCATCACTTTCTTAATTCTAGACAATTAACAAAACAATAATCAATCCCTGATTTGTAGAGTTTGTTGATTTCCAAGGTGCAAATTACTCATCCTGAAAATTTAACAATCAGCTGTGGTACCAGATGGCCTTGGTACATCCCTGGAATGAAACTCAGTGACAATGGGCCCTATAGTTTCTTTTCTTTTCTTTTCTTCTTTTCTTTTCTTTTTTTTTGCTTTTTTGGTGAGGCATTTGGGGTTAAGTGACTTGCCCCTGGTCACACAGCTAGTAAGTGTCATGTGTCTGAGACTGGATTTGAACTCACATCCTCCTGACTCCAAGGCCAGAGCTCTATCCACTGTGCCACCTAGCTGCCCCCAGGGCCCATAATTTCAAAGAGCAAATAACTAGAATTAGAAAAATTTGAGTAGGTGAGAGCTTATTTTAAAAGACAAACAAGCAAACATAGTATTCAAAGGGGCCTTAGGTACTATCTAGTCTAACTCCCCTATTTTATAGATGAGGAAACTGAGCCCCAGAGAGTTTAAGTCATTTTCTGAAGGTCACAAAACTGTTAAGGAGAAGATATAGGAAAAATCTGGGTTTCCTGACTCCTTATCTACTGCTTTTTCTGCTATACCATACTATTCTCTGATGCCACTTCCCCCTAGGAGCCTGTTCCTTAACTTGGTTCTCCTTTCTTCATTCTGCATCACTTCATACAAGTCCTCTCGGGTTTCTCTGGATTCCTCATGTTTGCCGTTTTCTTACAATGCAATAACATTCTACATTAATCACATACTATGATTTGTTCAGTCATTCCCCAATCAATGACACTTGCTTGATTTCCAGTTTTTTTGCTACAATGAAGAGTGCTGCTATATATTTCTTATATCTGAGACCTTTGTTTCTTTCTTTGGCTTCCTTGGGTTAAATGCCTCTATCTATCTATCTATCTATCTATCTATCTATCTATCTATCTATCT